TCCATCGCATCGTCTACAATCAGAAAAGAAAATCATCAAACCATGAGAGTGTCGCGACGACTTCAACAAAAAAGGAAATGAAGCTCTTCGTCCTAAGAGCACTCCCACGGGGAGCGCATCGGCTTGCCTCAAAGTTATAAATCCTAAACACGCTTCATCCCCATCAGGTGAAGAAACCACTTCGTCTAAAAACCAAAACAAAACCTCTTCAACCGCCAAGCACATTGGACTCACGCAACGGCCAGCTAGAAAGGAACAAGTACTCCCTTTCACTTCGTCTTCACCTCAGCTCAAAGAGTGGGGGACTCCTGATAGAGTATATGGGCCTGGACCCCATGACCCACATACTCATAGTCAACAATGACCAGAAGAACGTCCATGTGGCCCCCTTCATCCCAGTGGGACCCGCATCGGCCAGAAACCAAATCGGCCCAGAACACGCACCTGGACTTCCGGGGCCGCATCGGCCCATGGACCACATCGGCCATGGGACCGCATCGGCCAAAAGGCACCGCATCGGCCAGATCTTGTCTTGGCAGAATACATCTCTCTACTTTATTTACTAAGTATTGTACTCAGCCCATTAGTCGCACTATTTCGCCCAAAGACGGCATGATTATTGTAATGGACCTCCTAAGCCCATGGCTAGGAGTCCAAATCCACATTTTTACCTATAAATAGACCCCTTGGGGCTAGTTATAGGGGGTTGAGAAATATAATTACTCATTTTCTCTCTCTAGCTCTCACTTCTTTCTAGAATTAAATACTCTATCACTTGCGTTGCTAACCGGTTCCGGAAAAAGCAACACAAACGATAAAGGAAAATTTAGGTGGAATGCACCCTTTCCAAATAAATGGGGTTCGTTTATTATATCACATAAAGTAGGATTATTAGCTTATTTTATTCCAAACTATCATCAAATTCACAAATCTATCCTATTCTTTGATTTTTATCAAACAAGATTCAAGTTTAATCTTTGTCAACAATTATGTTTTTGTGTTTTATTTTTCAAAATTACACATTTGTATCCATACCAATAACATATAAGCAACACAAGTTTTTTTGTAGATATTACTAAATTACATGTCAAAGAAAAAAATATGGCCTCTTATAAAAATTCCAAAACTATGACTTACCATATTATTCATGTCTTTTAATTAATACTACATTTATTAGTATAACATTCCTTTTTAATAATTAATTAATCACTACTGTCCAGCCACCCCTAACAACCACCATCGCTAGTGCCACCCTCGCCACTAACACCGAAGCTGTCACGAAAACCACCGCCGCTGTCATTAGTCATTGGACCTCATTAGTGACTACCTTCTACTCCCTATATAAAGAGCACATTTGCTTTTTCACACATTTTTTAGGAGGAACACTGTTTGAAACTGTTTGGACACTGTTTGACACTGTTTTGCACTGTTTTGTTTGCCAAAAGGGGAAATGTGCCTTTTATATAGGGACGACCCAAAAAGGAAAGTGTGCCTTTTATTTTGTGATAAAAGTTGAAGTTTGAGTCTTTTTTTAATAAAAGTGGAAGTATATGATATATTTGTGAATTTGATGATAGTTGGAGATATTTGTGAATTTGATGATAGTGGAAGTATATGATATATTTAGCTAATAATCCCATAAAGTATCGAACATATTAGATTTCTTGAATACTTCATTTTCTTCCAAATAATGTAATAACAAATATTATGCATATAGTTTAGCACATGTAGTTAAATGGTTATAAAGCTAACTTATGATTAAATAGGACATACAGGCACACAAGAGGAAGGAGGATGCATTGATGGACAAGTCAATTTTGTATCACAAATTAGATAAGCCGGGAGAACATTTGTATCTTAAAATTTAAGAAATTATTATTTAAAAAATACTATCTCCTTATAATTAATATTTAGCAAATTGGCACATTCTTTATCATTTTAATAAGAATTAGCGAATTTGTACACTTTCAATTGTGTTTAACTTGATTCTAAAAGAGGAAATGTATCAAGTTAATTCTTTTAGAATCAAGTTAAACACAATTGAAAAGGTACTACTCCATATTTAGGGAAAAATGTCAATTTGATTCTCGTACTTACATGAAAAAGTCAATTATGTCATCGTACTTTTAAAAAGATCAATCAAGTCCCCGAACTTTGTAAAAACGTTCAATTGAGTATACATGGTGATCCATGTGTGCGCCGTGTCATCAACAAATGGCTAAATTGATCTTTTTACAAGTACGAGGACATAATTGATTTTTTTATATTAAAGTACGAGGACTAAATTGACAGTTTTCCCCTTATTTAAAAGGTACTCTCAAATTGAACTTGAAGTGAACGGTAAATCACTTTTACTGGTACTGAATTGCGTAGGAGTGGACAATTTCCTCTAATGGATTTAAACGTGTTTATGTTCCAGCACTAATTTCGTCTAATTGATCTACACAACTGAAAGGAGTAGAAATTATTTACAACTAAATTGGGCTAGAATCTTATGTCTTGGGATAATCCAAGACATAAAAGGTACAATGTACTACCTCTCCCGCTAAGATCTTCTTAGTTTGACCTACACACATATTTAGGAAATAAACTTACAAGGGAGTAAAATTTACGGCTTTGACACTGTTTCGACACTGTTTGGCACTGTTTGACACTTTTTGCACTGTTTGACACTGTTTTGATAAGGATAACTTTTCATTTATGGGAATGAGAACTTCATTTTAGGACTGCTAAAAAATGAAAGCAGGAAGATCTTAGTGGGACGGAGGTAGTATAAGTTTACTTGAATTGAAATTTTCTGATCTGATCCCGTAATGTCGGGTCTCTGTGTATTATATAAGGGAGATTTCTCAAAATAGGAGTAAATGGGGGGTTTAAAATAGGACTACTATGTTTTTATTCCTGAAGTGGGACTAACATAACAGTATTTAATGTCATCTTGTAGGTGTGACTGCTAAATAGTTGCAGTACAATGCATTTAACATAACAATATTTATTATAATTAATGACAATATTTTTCAATAATGACAATATTTTTCATACACGACAATAACAACTCCTATTTCGGGAAGAAAAACATAGTAGTTATATTTTGGAATTCCAATCCTCATTTGCTCCTATTTAGGACAATTTCCCATTATATAAATTTTCAAGTCTGGTCTGATCTGGTCTAATGTAATCTGATCTGGTTTGATCTGATCAAACTTGATCTGGTCTAGGACTGAAAACAGTTCAAGTAACAACATCATAAGTCTATGCCATACATATACGAAGGTGTATAAGTCTAAGAGTCTGTTTAAAATTGGACGAATTAGCTTATTTTGAGAAATATAGGAGTATGTATTTAAAGTTCCCTATATTTTATCAAAAAATACGCAAAACAATACAATTGAAAAATAGCTAACATTGTGCTCTGCATTAACTTGGCCAATTTGGTCATATAGTAATTACAATCTTATTTATTTTATAATTACACAAATTAACACACCAAAAATCAGGATCACCAAATGTACTCTAAGATTTTTCTATATTTTACAAAGATTAGTTTTATGATTATTAAATGTGTTTCATAAAAATTATAGTTCACACGTTTTAAGAATCTTAAACATATTTTGCCAAAACATCCCGTATATCTATAATAAAAACATACATGTACTATATTGATGAAAAAATATTGTATCATGATATCATATTTGTAGAAATAAATATATAATGCTCATTCGACAAAGGATTATTTTGATGAATTCAATTAAATATATTTTATGGCAATTCAATTAAATATGTAATCCGTGCAACACACATAGGTTGACTAGTTCTTTTATAAGAATAGAGTGATTCAGCGAAAGTTCAAACTAATCTAAGGATAATAACGTAAAGATAATATTACTCGAAATAAGACTAAAAAAGTTTGAAAATTTTAAAATAAGACTTCCATATTTTTATTTTTAAAAATAGGACTAATTATTATCATATTTTGGCAGTATCAAATTTCAAGCATGACAGTATTTTTTAAACGGAAATTGTCCTAAATAGGACTAATGAGTTCCTTAAAAGAACAAATAGGACTACTACTTTTTAAATTCCCTAAATAGGACTAAACATTGATTTTCTACCCTAAATACCCCTAAGAGTATTAATTCATAATGAAATGCTTTAATTCATAATAAAATCATTAAAAAACGTAAAAAATATTTAAAAAACGTAAAAAAATTATAAAAAATTTATAAAAAATTTATAAAATAAAAAATTTAATTTTTTATTTTTTTAATTTTTTTTTAAAAAATAATAAAAAATAGTAAAAACCCATAAAAAATGAAAAAAATTATGGATACCTTTCCCACCGCCTCCTGCCGCCTCCCACCACCACCACCTCCGATTGGTGAAATTTCTTCCACTTTTGGTAAAAAAATGCCATCTTTTTCTGAAAATGCCAAAAAGATGGCATAATTACTCTTCAATATGCCAATATTTTCATTGAATATGCCATCATTATGGCATAATTTAAAATGTTGGCATATTTTTCTCCGGTGATGGGAGCTAGTGGTGCTGGGGGTGGCAGGGGTGGTAATGTTTTTTTTTAATTTTACGATTTTTTTTTTATTTTTTTTTTTTATTTTAAAAAAAAAATTAATTTGTTTAAAAATATTTTTATTAATTTTCTATTATTTTTTTTATGATTTTTAGTATTTTTTTCGATTTTTATTATTATTTTTATGATTTTATTATTAATTAAAACATTTCACAAGTTACAAGGGTATATTTGTCCAAACACACATAAATAGTCCTATTTAGGGAATTTAAAAAATGTAGTCCTATTTGTGCAAATTTGCCACTTTTTAGTCCTATTTAGGAAATTCACTCTTTTTTAAACTTAACCATTAACTATTCCTATTTTAGAAATAAAAACATGATGTCAAAGTATATGAGGAAAGTTCATATTTAGGAACTTTCCTAAAGTAACTATCTTTCGTAGTATAAATCAAATACTAAGGGTAAACAAATCCTTTCATACGGTTTACCCTTTCCTACGGCAAATCCTTTCCATTCTTGTCATCCTTTCAAACGGTAAATACGAGTACTTTCAAATATCTCAGTCAGGAGAAGATGGATAGAATCAGTCAATTCTCAGATGATTTGCTTCTGCAAATTCTTTCCTTCTTGCCCATACATGACGTCTTCTCGACTAATCAGTTGTCTACCAGGTGGAGAAATTTATGGAGGAAGCTCAGATGTTTAAATTTTACGGATGGACAATTGGAATCGCTTCCGCACACAGAAGTAAGAAATTCTATCGACCGTACCTTAATGTTGTGGAACGGTTTTAACATTGAAAAGTTTGTCATACATTTGAGACTTCACTCGAGTTCCTGCCACACTGATCTTGATCGGTGGATGCTTTTTGCGAAGCTGAATGGGGTTCAAGACTTACATGTGGCATTAGAGTATCTTGAAGGAAACGATGAATTATACCCTGTTCCTGCCTGCGTTCATTTATGTTCATCATTAAAGAGACTGTGTCTTCTGGGCTGTAACTACGAAGCAAACGTTGACGTGCACTGGATTACCTTAAAAAGCTTGAGTCTTGACGGGTATTTCTCTAAATCCCCTCCAATGGAACAAATTCTCTTAGGTTGCCCCAAGCTTGAAGAACTAACCTTGAGTATTAGAAATACTTACCGGTACTTGAAGATCAAGTCATTAAGCTTGAAGATGATAGTCATCACAGAATCTGTCCATGGAGTTCTTCTAAATGCTTTGATCGGAATTTCATGCCCAAATCTTTTGGGTTTACATTTATTAGGGGACTTGTATGAGAGGCATTTTCTAGATGAAATACCATGCCTTACAGACTTGAAGATTGGGTTTACTAATGCTCAAGATTTTGTGGCAGAAATGGCATTCAAGCCTACTTTGAGCGATCTGTACTCTTCAATAGCCCAAGTTCGCAGACTGACTTTATCAAGCTGGACAGTTAATAGGTTTCAAGGGACAGTAAAACAATACTTTGCCTCACCTTGGACCATTGAACGACTTGCTATTGAAGGTGAAGACGTTGATTTGGAGGGTTTGCTTATTGCTCTTCACAGTTTTCAAGATATGGAAAGATTAATCATAAGCTGTGGATTGCGAAGCTTGACTTCGGATTTTGTTCTATTCAAAGAGTCTGATGTCCCTACTTTGAGAAATCTGAAGAAGGTTTACATCACATGCAAATTCAGTAAAAGCGTTCCATTTCTAGAGTTGGCTAAAATTATATTAAGCCATTCGCCTGTGCTAGAGAGCATGGTCATCTGCCCGATAGATTTTCCCCCAGGCACATGGCACACGTACCTACAAAGATTGATGAGTTTGCCATTATCTTCATTAACGGGACGCATTTCTATCAAAAGATGAGCTTAGTGATCTGCAAGTTTATTTTGATTGTTTGGATTCATAATAATTCTACAAATTCTATATCTGTGTAGTTATGTGTTATCCTGACGCTTGATGGATTTCATTCTTTATGCTAGCAACCGGATTATGTCATTCATTTGCTGTAAAGGATTTTCAGAAAATTTGAGTATCTTCTTTTCTTTATAAGGATTATGAATTCACATTGATGTCATGTTTCAATTATAAACCAGTAATCTCATAGGTATGTGTGTTGCATACACTAGATTCTTTCTCACCAGTGATAAAAGGTTGATATGTGAAAAATATTCCAAGTTTCAAAAGATAGCTTTCATTTGGTGCTAAATGAACATTTCAGTTTTGCAGAGCCTTGAACATTGTTTCATCATCTTACAGAATTAGTAAAGAGAAGATCAAGTATTGATCAAGAAAAGCTTTATTGTTGTTAATGGAGTGTTTACAGAGAATTTATAACACCAACGAGACTGTTAGAGAAGCCTCAATCTCCCAGCCTAATCCCAACTGATTACTTGTCTACCCTCTTCTTTTCCCCTTCCTTACTCTTAGATTTCTATTTCTTTAAGGGCAGGCCCATTATTCCTGATTTACTAAATGGCTCAGAACCTTCACTTATACACTATTACACTCTTTAATACTATTCTATTATTCTTGTTAGTATTATTATAGGTGTTCCTATCATGGCGCCTCTTCCTTCCGAGTACTTCACTGGTTGTGGTACCATGAATTTCAGGACTTCCTGGAACTTCATCATCACTTTGTTCACCCCGAACAGAAGCAAAGGCCTGAGATAGAAACTCCCTGGAATTACGTTGTCAAAGATAATAGTTCCACCTACAGCAATTTCTGAATTGTTCCTATCACCACCTTCACTGCTCAATGACAAAAGACCTGATGGAAAAGGCTCTCTAATATCTTCCTTAGAATAAATGCGTATTAATCTTTGGCCAAGTTTCTGAGAAGAAAATGAATGAGGGCCTACATGTTTTACATGATAACCAAACTTTGAAGCCTCTACATTGTAATCAATATCATCATATAAAGGTTCTACAAGATAAAATCCAGCTGCCTTTGTAGTAGCTTCAGCTGCTACATCACCATGCTTGAGAAGAGCATTGTGGCTTTTTCTGGCAACGATTATGTCGATGTGAATTTCAGAGAAGGTTTGTGAGAGTAGTGAGACTAATCCTTCACTAGGTAAACCTGATTTATGAAAATTCAGTTCATGCACTACTGGAGATTCCACACATAGGTGTTGTGATCCCTCCTTTATTTCAAATTTCACAAGATTCCCATCTGTTGCTGCAAGTACAGTATCCACTTCATAATTATGAACTATTTTATTGCTGTACCCTTTCTGCACAATGGATGATCCTGTAAGATCGTTGGTCCCAACCTTTGATATTGGCAAAATTTTCATCCCAGTCCCATCTATCATCCTCACAAAGTATTCCTAAAGAACTTCTGACTACACCCTTTTCTTTTCCAGGAATGACTTTCGTAAACACGAATTGACTGCTCTCATTTTTTAAATGATTCATTTTCCTATTATTATTGTGTGTTTCTTCTATATTGTATGAGAGACAGAGAAGCAAAAGAACTTGGAACATTTCCTATGAGCCCTACAACAACTGAACGAACTTCAGGAATAGAAACCTGAGCAACAGATGATTGTTCCTCTCGTTCATCATCTGGATTCAGTTTCTTGATTACAGATTCAGGTCCATCGGCAACTATAATTTGCTCCTCGAGTTCTTCCGGATTTGTTTCCTTGATCACAGATTCCGGCTTCAACCCAATTTTTTTCTCTCGTTTGAGTTTCCCACCATTGAAACCAGTCTAACGCCGTTTCCTCTATCGCGCCTACTGCTACTTCAACTTATCTTTTTCCACAGTAGCATTGAGACGGAAATACGGACCATCCATCCTAACGATCCATCCATATACTTCATCTCCAATAAACAAAGGTAGCTCCAATAATAATGAATAGTTTAATAAGGTGTAAAAAAGGAACTAGGCTGGGCCAAGTAATTAGTTAAACGGGAAAAGGGGCAAAAGTGCCCCTGAAGTTGTCATCAAAGGGCATTGATGCCCTTAAACTTTATTTGTGTGCAAAAAGCTTTAAAATGTGTGAAAGGAGGGCAATTACCCCTTGGTTAACGGTGAACATGCATTTGTTCAACGGTGGACCATGCAACATGCATTTCTCCTTTGGCTGGCGTTTACTATGTACGGAGTATAACAAATCAAATAACAATAGTGCTTCTTCATAAGCATCTATAAAGAAATTAATGATTACAATGATGAATCACTTACTAATGGACTTATTAAGGACTAGGTGCTCATTTGATGATCCTATTTTTTCAACTTTTTTATCAAACACGTAATTTTTAATTTCGCGCACCGAATTGTGTAATAATAAAAAAATTGAGGTAGAAGGTACTTTTCCGGCTAGATTGGTTGAAGTTAATGTAGATGATCATTTAACTTGTTTTTAATATAGTTTTTTCTTATATTTTTAATAAAATATATTTTAAAAGTAATTTTTCATAAATTAGCAGAATCGGTCAACACAGTCGATTTGATTATTACATCAAATGCACGAATAAAGAAGCCTATTTATCGAGAAGTGGAGAAAACCTGTGCTAGATAGACCGGCTAAACCCAAGGAATCTCATTAACGGTTGAACATGATAGATTGATAGCACCAATGATTGATAGCACCAATGATGTGATACAAAATTTTCACTAAATTCTTAATATATTTTTAAAAACCGAATGAAATTGAACCGAATTAAAATATTCAATGGATTTTTAATACTTCCTCCATCCCCGAAACAACTTCCCGGTTTGACCTATACACATATTAAGGAAATAAACTTACCAAGGGGTAAATTTTATTGTTTTGACACTGTTTTGCACTGTTTGACACTGTTTTGCACTATTTGTCACTGTTTAGATGTAGATAACTTTCCATTTAAGGAAATGAGAAGTTAAACTAGGGACATCCAAATAAGGAAAGTATGAAGTTGTTTCAGGGACGGAGGGAGTATATTTTTAAATTTTTTTAAAACATAACAAATCCAAATCAAATGGATTCAAACTTAGACATAGTATTAGACTAGTGTAACACCCGGGGCATGCCCCGATAGTGTTAATTTGATATGAGTTCAGATGATAAATATCAATAAATTAAACATTGTGTCAAATAGGATATGATCAAAAGTTTGTTTATAATCAATTCCTTTTATGAACTAACCCCCATCATGAAAGACGGGTGAGAAATCACCATCTTTTGGAGTATGAATATGTGGTTTACGTGCTAGCAGTTGTTATATTTATTAATTATTTATAGGCCTAATTATATAATGAATGATCGATGGTAAGAAGAAGTGTTGAAGTGGAATTGTGAGTATTTAATTTGGAGTTTACATTATTTTCGATAGTTACATGTGTTATTAGTGTTGTACGATTTGAGTCTTGTTCACGTGAATAAAATTAAAGTTCCATTATTTAAGAAAAATTGTTGTGTATTAGAGCCTCGCTCAAATACATAAGATTAATTTTGTATGATGTTTTCTTATGGTTAGAGTCTAATTAATTAAAGAATTTGATTTTGTACATTTTTTTAAACTGAACAGATATAATATTTATTCTGAGAACTGTACTCCATTAATGTGTGGTGGTTGATACTAAGAAGATATTTTATTCACCTGATATGGATATTTATGCTCTGAATTGATGTTTTTAAGATCTGTTCTGATCTCAATTTTTTCTGATCTAGTCTGATCTAATAAGATCCCCGTATAAATCTTTCTTGTCTGAATCTTTCTGATCTGATATGAGCTTTTTTTATTTTGATCTGATCTAAACCATTCCGATATGATGTATGGAGTAATAGTTTTATGTGATTGAGTGTTTATTTATATTCTTTAGTTATTATTATTATTATTATTATTATTATTATTATTATTATTATTATTATTATTATTATTATTATTATTATTATTATTATTATTATTATTATTATTATTATTATTATTATTATTATTATTATTGTTATTGTTATTATTATTATTATTATTATTATTATTATTATTATTATTATTATTATTATTATTATTATTATTATTATTATTATTATTATTATTATTATTATTATTATTATTATTATTATTATTATTATTATTATTATTATTATTATTATTATTATTATTATTATTATTATTATTATTATTATTATTATTATTATTATTATTATTATTATTATTATTATTATTATTATTATTATTATTATTATTATTATTATTATTATTATTATTATTATTATTATTATTATTATTATTATTATTATTATTATTATTATTATTATTATTATTATCATCATCATCATCATCATCATCATCATCATCATCATCATCAAAACTATAATTTTAATTATAGTTAAAATTATCATTATATCTATAAGTATACAATAATTATTATTACAATTATAACTACAACTATAATTATAACATCATTATATCTTCCTTATAATTATCCTTATTTTTATAATTACAATTACCACTACAGTAATCGTTATCCATACCATTATAACATGTAGTATTACTATTATAATTAACTTATAGTAATACTACATATTACTACGTATAATGGTATTGGTAATGCTTATTATAATTGTAATCATAATTATAAATTGTTGGAGATTTATTGAAAATGAAGCTCAATTGTTATTTTACATGGTCCTTAATCATTTTATAATGTGGTTTATTAAATGATATTATTTAAATATAATGATTATTATTATATATTATGAGAACACTTTTGTGCACAAGTGGTCTCATATAATTATAATAATATTATTTTGTTCCTTTGTGTTGTTTTCAAATACGGAGTATTAAAACTTTGCATTTTAAAGGATGTTGGTAGTGGCAGCTTTTGTGGATAAGAACAAAATATTATATTAAATTAAAAATGGTTTAAAATGAATGTTCATGTCCTTTTGATATGCCGCACCATTTCAGAAAAATCATTTCGGTTAAATGTTGGTAACTTCTTTTCAAAGAGTTATCATTTTATCTATAAAAACATGAGGACCGTGTTGAATGAGGATATACGAAAAAATTAGACCGAGTGCCTCTCTTGTTGCCATACTTTATTACTTATATCTGCAGTGTTAGTAATAAAGTGTTTAGACCACTTTATATACAAATCACTTGTTCGGTGTTATTTTATCGGTAACTAAAATACACCATACACCTTCTTTTTATCCCAAAAGTTCTATCTTGTAACCCGGTTACTGTGATAAGGGTAGATAGTAAACTTTTAGGAAAGCGTATCTAATACGTGACTAGAAGTGATATCTGGTTCAGCCATATTTCTACACCCTTATATTATTTCTATTTTTATACTCCAGTTCTAACAATCTAAAAGTTTACTAGTCTGAAAATATGGCCGCTAGTCAACGCGATATCATCAACACCAATTTTCAAAAATTGGAAAAGTTTGAAGGTGTGGAGTTCCGAAGGTGGCAGAAAAAGATGCATTTTCTGCTCACTACTTTGAAGGTCGTCTATGTGTTAAGCACCCTGAGGCCGCCCGAGGATGATGAAAACGAGACTTTGGAAACAAGCCGCCGCCACATAAAGTGGGACAACGACGACTACATTTGTCGTGGGCACATTTTGAATGGTATGTGTGATTCTCTATTTGATGTGTATCAAAATGTTGAATATGCTAAAACGTTGTGGGAGTCCCTAGAATCTAAGTACATGACCGAGGATGCTTCGAGTAAGAAATTTCTCATTAGTAACTTTAATAGTTACAAAATGGTTGATTCTCGTCCGATCATGGAGCAATTTCATGAAATTCAACGTTTATATGATCAACTTTTGATACACAACATGCATGTCAATGAAACCTTTGCTGTCGGTTCTATAATCGACAAATTACCCCCTTCATGGAAGGAAGTGAAAAATAGCCTCAAACGCAAAAAGGAGGATTTGTCAATGGAGCAACTTGGCCGCCGACTTCAAATTGAAGAAGGCATTAAGTTGCGTGCAGGTGACAATGGTAAAAAGAGCGACCTTCCAATTTCCTCTATAAATGTTATGGAGGAGGGACAGTCAAGTGGGACTAAGAAATATAAAAAACGTCCCGGGAAATTCACCAAAGGTTCCAAGTTTCAAAAGAAGCCGAAAGATAAGAAAGTAGGCTCTTGTTGGGAATGTGGTGGTCCACACTTCAAGAGGGACTGCCCGAAGGTGAAGAAGAAAAAGGCCCAATTGAATGGCCATCCTAATGGTGGCCAAGACAACCAAGATCAGAATCTTTTTGTAGTTACAAATGATGTTGATAACAACATAATTTTTGTAGCTATGCTTTCTGAAATTTGTGTTGTGCAGGATGATGAATCTTGGTGGATTGACACCGGAGCCACAAGACATGTATGTAAAGATAGGCAGACTTTTAAGACTCTAAAAGAGTTGGAAGAAGGGCCGATCTTATACATGGGAAATGATTCTACTGTGCAAATTCAAGGAATTGGCCAAGTAGAGTTGGAATTAACTTCCGGAAAGAAATTAATTCTTAATGATGTGTACTTTGTACCACAAATCCGGAAAAATCTTGTCTCCGGTGGAATCCTAAATAACTTTGGGTTTAAACTTAGCTTTGAAGCAAATAAGTTTATTTTATCTAAGGGTGGTGTATTTGTAGGCCAAGGTTTCTATTGTAATGGCATGTTCAAACTAAGTGTTGTAAATAAAGTTGTTAATTCCGTTTATTTGGTTTGTGATTCTTCTTTGTGGCACAATAGGTTATGTCATGTTAATTATCGTAGATTAAGTGACATGTCAAAAGTAGGATTAATTCCTCCTTTTAATATTAACATAGAAAAGTGTAGAACTTGCATGTTAAATAAAATCACAAGAAATTCTTTTCAAAGTGTTGAAAGAAAATCCAACATGCTTGAATTAGTGCATAGTGATTTGTGTGATTTCCATAGCACTCCTTCTTTTGGAAATAAAAAATATGTAGTCACATTTATTGATGATTGGACAAGATATTGTTATATATATCTTTTATTTTCAAAAGATGAGGCAATGGATAAATTCAAAGTTTTTAAAATGGAAGTTGAGTTACAAACAGGAAAGAAAGTAAAAAGGCTTAGAACGGACAAAGGAGGAGAATATTATGAGCCTAAGTTTTTTGAATCCGTTGGAATAATCCATGAAACAACAGCCCCTTACACGCCGCAACAAAATGGCATTGCTGAAAGAAAGAATAGAACTTTGAAAGAAATGGTTAATTCCATGTTGTCTAATTCTGGCTTAAGTAATGGATTTTGGGGTGATGCTATGTTAACTGCTTGTTATATTCTTAATAGAGTGCCTAACAAGAAAAATAAGATTACCCCATATGAACTTTGGCACAAAAGAACACCCCAACTAAGTTATCTTAGGGTATGGGGTTGTAGGGCAATCGTGAGATTACCGGAACCTAAACGAAAAACGTTAGGTGAAAAGGGGGTAGAGTGCATATTTATTGGATATGCTGAACATAGTAAATCTTATCGTTTCTATGTTATTGAACCGAATGACTCAATTGCGGTTCACACTGTTATTGAGTCTAGGGACGCTCTTTTTGATGAGAAGCGGTTCACTTCTATTCCTAGGCCAAAGGATGTTGATCCCGGTCCAAGTAATTCACACTTACATGAACTGGAAAAGGATCATGAAAATGAGCCTGAAATAAGACGGAGTAAGAGGGCTAGAAAAGAAAAGTCATTTGGTCCCGATTTCCAATTATATTTGGTTGAGGGATCAAGAGAGACCCTTGAAACTCAAACACTATATTGTTATAGTGTTGAGGAGGATCCTAACTCTTTTGAAGAGGCAATGAAATCTCAAGATGCTTCCTTCTGGAAAGAGGCCGTGAATGATGAAATGGATTCAATCATGGGCAATAATACTTGGGTTCTAAGTGATTTACCGCCCGGTTGCACACCAATCGGTTGTAAATGGATTTTCAAGAAGAAAATGAAAGTAGACGGTACCATTGACAAGTTTAAAGCTAGATTGGTTGCACAAGGCTTTAAACAAAAACATGGTATTGATTACTTTGACACATATGCACCGGTAGCTAGAATAACTACCATAAGATTGTTAATTGCTTTATCGGCTATTCACAATCTTGTAATTCACCAAATGGATGTCAAAACTGCATTCTTAAATGGTGAATTGGAGGAGGAGGTGTATATGAAACAACCTGAAGGGTTTGTTGTTAAAGGACAAGAAAAGAAAGTTTGTAAACTTGTTAAGTCCTTGTATGGTCTGAAACAAGCACCTAAACAATGGCATCAAAGATTTGATGAAGTGGTGCTGAAAAATGGTTTTAAAATTAACCAATCAGACAAGTGTGTGTATAGCAAATTTAATGAGCATGGTAATGGTGTCATTATCTGTCTATATGTGGATGACATGCTCATATTTGGCACTGATTTGAGGCAAGTAAATGAGACAAAGGCTCTTCTCTGTTCAAACTTCTCCATGAAAGATATGGGTGAAGCGGAAGTTATCCTTGGAATTAGGATAATCAAGCAAGGTGATACTATCACCTTAACACAATCTCACTATATAGAGAAAGTGTTGAAAAGATTTGGGAGTTTGGATTGTTCACCGGTTTCCACTCCCATGGATCCTAGTTGGAAATTAGTTCCAAATAATGGGAACGCTGTATCACAGCTTGAATATGCTAGGGTGATTGGGTGTTTGATGTACGCAATGACTAGCACCCGGCCAGATATTGCATTTGCGGTAGGAAAGCTAAGTAGATATACTAGTAATCCTAGTATATTTCATCGGCAAGCCTTGAAGCGAGTGCTGAAATATCTAAAGAAAACAATGAGCTTCGACTTATGTTATAAGAGTGAACCCTCTATATTAGAAGGTTATACGGATGCAAGTTGGATAACTAATCAAGAGGATTATTCATCCACAAGTGGATGGTTATTCCTTCTTGGAGGAGGTGCTATATCATGGGCATCTAAGAAACAAACTTGTATCACAGACTCTACCATGGCTTCAGAGTTTATAGCTTTAGCATCAGCTTGTAAAGAAGCGGAATGGCTAAAGGATTTAGTGTCGGAAATTCCGATATGGCCTAAACCAATGCCTCCGATATCAATCCATTGTGATAGTGCATCAACTCTATCGAAAGCTTATAACCATGTGTACAATGGTAAGTCAAGGCACATAGGAGTGCGACACAGCTATGTGCGGAAACTTATTAGTTCTGGAGTTGTTGTGATTGATTTTGTACGGTCGCATGTGAATTTGGCGGATCCTTTTACAAAAGCGATGCCAAGAGACATGGTGTACAAAACTGCAAAAGGGATGGGGTTAAAGCCCTTGGAAAATAATCACAAGTGAAAGAAAGCGCAACTCAACGTCTAGTACAACGCTAGATCTTGAGTTCAATGATGATGAGTAAGTCACTCCGTGGTTGAAGCACTTTTGAATATCAACCATCCCGAGGTAAGTGCTTGAGACTGCAATGTGTAATGAGGTTGACTATGTCTTAATAGATCTTTTGATAAAGTGTTTAATTGCAGAACACAATTTGAAAAGATCTACCTATGTGAGCTAGAATGGCGGCCGATTCACCAAGTCTAAGGCTTTACTTATTGGAGCTCATGAATGGATATGGACACAAGGCCGTTAATGGTGTCAAGTTTCTAAGTGAAAATGTATAGAGATTTGTGTGTGTAATATCTTCAATATTTCAAAGTGGTTGTATAGTTCAAAGCTTAGTCTACTATTATGATCCGAAATATTGTAAAGTATATTACACTAAATGAAAGTTCAATCTTTAAGACACTTTCAATTATGCACAAGTCTTGATAAGTGGTCTATTTGGCAAGGATTGAGTATATTTATTTTCAATAAATGGAGGAGGATTGTTGGAGATTTATTGAAAATGAAGCTCAATTGTTATTTTACATGGTCCTTAATCATTTTATAATGTGGTTTATTAAATGATATTATTTAAATATAATGATTATTATTATATATTATGAGAACACTTTTGTGCACAAGTGGTCTCATATAATTATAATAATATTATTTTGTTCCTTTGTGTTGTTTTCAAATACGGAGTATTAAAACTTTGCATTTTAAAGGATGTTGGTTGTGGCAGCTTTTGTGGATAAGAACAAAATATTATATTAAATTAAAAATGGTTTAAAACGAATGTTCATGTCCTTTTGATATGCCGCACCATTTCAGAAAAATCATTTCGGTTAAATGTTGGTAACTTCTTTTCAAAGAGTTATCATTTTATCTATAAAAACATGAGGACCGTGTTGAATGAGGATATACGAAAAAATTAGACCGAGTGCCTCTCTTGTTGCCATACTTTATTACTTATATCTGCAGTGTTAGTAATAAAGTGTTTAGACCACTTTATATACAAATCACTTGTTTGGTGTTATTTTATCGGTAACTAAAATACACCATACACCTTCTTTTTATCCCAAAAGTTCTATCTTGTAACCCGGTTACTGTGATAAGGGTAGATAGTAAACTTTTAGGAAAGCGTATCTAATACGTGACTAGAAGTGATATCTGGTTCAGCCATATTTCTACACCCTTATATTATTTCTATTTTTATCCTCCAGTTCTAACATAAATTATGTTTGAACCTTTTTATTTGACCTAATTGCTTTTGGTCTAATCTGTTTTGGTCTAGTGTATTTATGTTTGATCTGATCTGGTCTGAGACTGAAAACAATCCAAAGTAAAAACATCATAAATTAAATTTCAGTCAAAAAAACACACATTTTAGTGTAAAGTAACTTTATCTAGATACGTATGCTTAGTGTTTTTTTGGAAAAAGTTACTTATGCCTAACATTTTTAATTAGACTGTAAAAAAATTATAATTAGAAATACACATGTGTCAAATACTTTGTACTCCTGTATATTTTATCTACTAGCGTTTGGTTGCGCAAGGCGCAACAACTTTTGTCCAATATTAAAGTAATGTTTTTTTTGTAAATAATTAATTATTTATGCATGAAAATGTGTTGCAGATATTAAGAAAAATGGGTTTATGTTGTTAATATTAAATAAATTGATAATGTAAATATGATTTAGAGGACCACGCGATTGTACCAAATTTGGGATGAGACAATCTTAACATGACAAATCGAGTATTATACGTAGTATATGATATTGTTATGAGATTCTCTTTAATAGTGTATAAAAGTTTCCAATATTTTTTAAAAATTGTCAGATCATATATATTTTTCATAAGTCAGTTATTGTTCACATATGTGCTTATACTTTATAAAACTATGTGATTTAATGAGTTGAATATATTTTTCATTTTGTATATGGAAGAGGCAACATGAGTATCATCCATGACACCTAGACCTTTCAAAAACATTTTTGTACCATTATAAAAATATCTAAACCAAAAAATGATGAAATATACTACGTAATAATTTTAATCATCATACCTCAAATTAAGGATATCCTTTTAATTTATTAAACTTTTTTAACATTAGAAAGGGTTTATGTTAAACTTTCTTAACATTATCTCAAACTTAAAAAAAAGTTAAAATTCTTCTTCACATGTCTGTTAATTATTCTTAAGCCATTATGTATGGATTTCCTATTCACAATGGAAATAATTACATAAATATGACCAAAATAAAGATGATTTACAAGATTTATTAAAAAAACCTTCACAATGTATTGAATGAGGAAATTAAAGCATCAGCTTCGGTATGAAGAAATCTTTTAGTATTACAAAGAGCAGATTTTAACTTTTTCATTTAACATGCTAAAATTGCTAACTTAACAATCATGTATGAGGCCGGTTATAATTTTTAAAATACTTCTATTAACTTTCATCGGTTAGTATAGTAAGGGTAAAGAAGTCACATGAGAAAGTAGGTTCCATCTCTTAAGAATAATGTACAACTTATGATGCACAAAGT